TTAGAAGACAATTGCTTATTAGTCACCTGTACAGCCTGACATGGGTCAGCAGTCAGCATGAACTTGTTACCCAGGCAGACCACCCAAAGTTCAAACCCAGGAGCAGAGCAGACTCAGAGCTTCAGGAGCCCCACACACACAAAAAAATACACATGCCCAAAACAGAAAATGGGACGTGTGCTCTTCCTGCATTTTTTTTTAGCATCTTGAATATCTCCGTGTATCACTGCAGCTTCTTAAATATGTCTGTGTTGTATGTGTGTGTTGATTTTAACGAAGAGATAAAGACAGAAATAGGAATATGTCCAACAGCTGCATGTTCCGTCCTACCACCAGAACTGCATAGTGGTCCTGGGTTCCTCTGCAACACTCCTGTTCCCCAGACCAGTGGACACCATACTACCTAGAAAAGCTAGACTGAAGCCCAGCATGAATTATGTTAAGTATCATCACACTCATGGTCAACAAAGTGCATGTTAGAAGAATTAGAAGAAGTCCTTCTGAGCCTATCTTTCATGTCCCTGTGCCGTCTTGATTCCTACAACTCACCATTCTCCCTACTCCTGCACATAACTCTACATCTTTTGTTAACTTAAGCTGGGACCTGGGTTTTCATATATGTTTCAAATGTGGTTCTAATTTGATACTGAAAGGCACACGAATCTTCCCAGATTTTGCCTCCCTGGTCTGTTGTCCAAGTTTGCCTTTTACGTTTTTGCTGGGAACACTTCAAGTAGCTCAATCAGCCTTTAGCTTTTGACTCCAAACATCTTGATGAAGCTAGGATGAACTCCAACCTGAAGTTCGTGGGAAGATCACCTGTCTCTTCTCCACACTAAGTCAGGTTTACAGATAGCAAAGGTCACCATCTAAGAGATTCGTCTTTGAAAACAGCAGCAGGGCCAGAGGAAGGTGATTGCTGCAGCTTTGTCTCATATTCTACCAGATGGCAAAAGCACTGATTGCTCTTGGCACTCACTGCCTGGTCGGATGACATTCTACTTGGACTCCCCAATGACACTGAAGCATGTACGTATTTCTACCTACTTTCTGAACGAGAGTCTACAATTCCTCATCGAGCTAGTTACAAATGTAACTAGTACAAATGTACCACCAATCTGTTGACTAAAGTATACCTGAGGTCAGCATGAGCTCCATTCTATAGGATGTTTCAGGAATGAGGGGCCATTTTCAATGTAAGGTGATTCACGAAGTCTCATCCCAGGTGGCATATACAAAGAAAGGGAACCAACTAAGGGAATACTGTCTTTATAGGTCCACCTTAGGGAAAAAGACAAAGTCAACTGATTTTCAAGGATAAAAGTTCTCCTTGAAAAACCCAGTATGTGGCTATTGGAATAAATCACCTTGTGGTATGCTTTTAAAATGATATGAATAATAGAAACAAAACATTAAAACAGGAAGCCTTCCTTCACAAATGCCACTTATGACCTTGGACCCAGAAATTAAATATCAATCCTTTAAAGCCTTAACACTGCTGTGAGACAGAAAAACATATCATTTAACATCAAAATATCTAAACTTACTATAAAGGATATAGGGTTGCTTATCCATTGATTAGATTGAGTAAAATATTGCTTATACGTATTTGGTTTTATGTTGGCTTTCATTGTTGTTGAGTAGAAACTATCTGATATTCTCTTAACTATCTGATATATCTTCCAAATTTTTAAAATAAGTTCAAATCATCCATAAACATAACTGTTGTAAATATCACAAATATGAAATGCATCATAGAAATTAAAATTCTCACATCTCAGTCTACATAAAATATAAAGGACCTCAGAACTATGAAGAGTAGTGAAATGACTCACTCTTGATTTGGGAATTTCATTTACATCAATAAGACCCTCCGTACTCTAACTCAAAACAGCTCAAAAGTGAAAGGAGCTGCACTAAAGGTACACTATATAATGAGTATTAGTTTGAGGTAAGTCTTTATTGAACAGTCTTAAAGTGTAGGGCAGTTTTGATCACCTGTATTATTTTTTAATTAAGGAAATGGTAGGATTTGCTCAGAAACCAAATAATCTCACAGCACACAAAAAATTGTCACATGTGTACAAGGCAACATGTAGGAAATACTCTTTATTTTTAAAACTAATACTGAGGAAAGAGCTATATTTAGAAGAGGTATAGCTAATAAATTTTAAAGCTGAGAAAAATAAAATATGGTGCTTTTTCCCCAAAGGAATTAATGAACAACCAATATAAAAATACACCCAAGCTTCCTCTATTTTCTAAAGCAGATATTCTTGGAACTCAAACACAAGTCAATCAAGAAGCTGTATGTTGACAGTATGAGAAATGTGAAGAAACTAACCTTTCTGTTAGAAAATTCCATCCAGTGAAAGAAAGAAAAAAAGATGTTTCGAGGAAAGGTATGGGGGGAGCTCCTCCGGTGTATTTAATAAGTGTCATTATTGCTGAGAAATCTAAAAGGGTGATAATATGAATCACAAGAGAAGTGCAATAGGGCAGCTATTTGAAATTTGTTTTTCACACATTTAGTGCAAAAACAACAGCTCTTACAAGAAAGGTCAATCCACCCACACGTTAACCTCCAATCAAGCAGCACTTTGAGAATCCAAATGTGATTGCAAATCGCTCACATGCCAAGATGAAAGGGTTTTTCATTTCCATCTATCTATTACTACCAGCATTTTATATTCATTATGGTCAGGGGTTGAAGGGCACACTAGATACTTGGCTGGTACTAGATTCCAGCACTTCCCTCATCACGCGGAATAAAACTAATATATGAACACACACAAACACACACACACACACACACACATGCGCGTGTGTGCACTATGCTGTAGGAATGTAAAATGTCCTCTTCGACCTCACCCAAGTAATGGGATTCAGATGTGAGACTTTCCTCCCAACCTGATTTCACCACCCCCCAACCCCTCTCAGGGGCTTCTCAGCAGGCCACAGCTCACTGCAGGTGCCACAATAACAATGCACAGCAGGATGAGCTAAAAGCAAGATGCAATTAGCAGAGGCTGTCCTTGCTTTTATAAATTCAAGTCCGACCCTGAAACTTTCTTTACGTCAACACCTGTAATTGTGTCTTAATTTCCTTTCTCAAAATAGTTCACAGTTACTTTATTTTAAATTATCAATTGTGGTACATAGAGAAAAATGCATAAAACAAAAGCAGAACTTAATGAACTAGCAACATGACCCACACTAATGACCAAGGCAAGGCTGCAACACAATCCGCGAAACCTACCACTGTATTGGGTAGACATGCCGCCTTTCTGTGGCTGTAACAGAATCCCTGAAATGCATTGTGTTTACTTGTTTGGCTTTCCTTAAGGTTTTATTCTATAACTGTATATTCTAAAATACAGTGGAATTATGTCATTTTATTGATGGGCTTCGATTCATATACAATATATTTCACCATGCTTGGCTTATTTTACTCTAAATTATATCTTTAAGGTTGAACCATATTTTTTGTATATTTGTAGGTATTTATGTGTATTGTTACATACTATTCCATTGCATGACTAGACCACAAATTGCTTCAGTATTATCACATGACTTCTTCATTTGATTGTTGATGAGTATTTGGGCTTATCTTTGTGTTTTATTTTGTTTTGACATGAAGTTCTGCTGGTTCCTAGGATGGTCTTGAGTTTCTAGGCTCAATTAATACTCCTGCCTCGGCCTCCTGAGAAGCTGGGATTATAGGCATTCCACCATAACCATCTTAGAGTTACATTTACCCTATACCCATACACACTTTTTTTGTTTGTTTGTTTGTTTGTTTGTTTGTTTGAGACAGGGTCTCACTATGTAGTTGAGACTGACCTGGAACTCACTATGTAGCCCAGGCTGCTCTTGAACTCACAAGAATCCTCCTGCCTCAGCCTCCCGAGTGTTGGGATTACAAGCGTGCGCCACCACACCTGGCATACATTTTGATCTATTACAATGCTTTTTGAAAATTGTTAGAGGCATATGATATATTTCAGCAGAAATTTATGGGAAACATACACAGAATAGTGGAATTACTGGGCCATAGAGAGATAGAGAGATAGAGATAGAAAGATATATATGTTTATCTTTACCAGACACGGGCAAAATTTTACCAAAGTTTCTATCTCAAAACAATGCTTGAGAGTTCTTCTTTCACCTTCCCAATATCACTTAGGGAATCGCTTTGGGTTTTGTTTTTGCTTTGTTTTTTTGAAATATTTGCAGCTCTGGCAGGGACCCTTTCCTGTTTTAAACAGAATAGTTTGAGGGAAGTCCTCATTGTACCTTCTGAATTTCTTATAATTCACAGTTATTGGCCATCAAGAATCCTATAGCCTGTCAGTGTGCACTGATAAAGAGCTCCTAGATTAAGAACTTACTGACGTCACATGTTAGTTATAAAAGATCTATTACAATTTACAAAGTCTGTTGAAAAGTCCAAAGACACTAAATTTGACCTATAACTGAACTATAAGCCTATAACTAAAATGAGAAAACACCAGGGCACTGCCACATTATGTGAAATCAATTAACAAACATGAGATTTCAAGAAAAAAAAATCAGAATTCATCAATGTCTCTAAGAAAGTTACTCACAAAGAAAACTAAATCTGGAAAAAACAACATGAGAACATGGGAATTAAATAAAGAAAAAAGCCTATTCTTGGGCTAGGGATTTAGCTCAGTGGTTCCACCACCTGCCTTGCAAGTGCAAGGTCCCAAGTTCAATCCCCGGTACCCCCACCAAAAATAGCCTACTCTTTTTCTCCTCCTCTACACACACATGCAGACACACACAGACAGACACACACACACACAGTTGCTTACCACCCCAGAGCTAATTAATGAGTGACTTCTTTCCTTTGAAATTCTGACAATTTTCAGCAGAATATAGTGAAAAATAAAATTGAAAATATTCAAACATGAGTTACTACTTTTCTAAGAATGTGGTTCTTATAACTTCCTTACATTACAGAAAGCTATACTCACAATGGGCATTTTCTTCACAGGGTTCCTGCATGTATGTGGCTTTATATGAAGGGCTCATCCATTTTTCCTGAATAACTCTTCTGTTTTCGACTTAGAAAACTGTCAGGAGACAAGAAATTTTTGTATAAATAAGCCTGTGGTCAATGGATACCTTCATCATCCCTGATAAAGCATTTGATTTGTAGGCTTTCAAAATCACAACTGTGTCTTTGCTTATCTATGTCTATGGCATCAAAATTAAAAATTCAATTTGTTCCTTGTTTTGTAGATTATTTACTATACTTCATATCTTCGGCAATATGTTCTTGCTTCTGCAATGTGTAGGCTAGATCAATAGTTAACTAGGAGGTGCAATATCTTGAATTGATTGTGCTTCTAATATGCTCTTGGCTACAAACACAAGAGATTTTAGGTGCTATTAACAGGTCTGTCAGTATTCACAGTTATAATATTTAGCTAAAGGAACTTTTTTTTTAGGAACTTTCAAAAATGCAAATGCAAATGCTGATTCCATAGTATCGGGGTAATACACATATAGTGACTGGAATATAGGCAACCCCAAAACCCAATGAAGAAAGAAGAGATCTAGAAACATCAAACCAAAAAAGGACCAGCCTTAAATTTAAGATGTTTTTGAAGGTTAGGAATATTCGCGTTAGTATGGCCAATTTTGGTAAGCCTCACTTTGTCCTTTTCCACAACATGTACGGCTTTATTTCTGAGAGATTAGGAACTGCACTGCACTATGCTCTACTTTGTGATAACATTGTTTCAGACATTTGTGTTTGGCAAAAATGAAAGCACTGAGCAACCAGATTGGTCAAATGCTAATTTTTTGAAGCCACAATAATTTCGATGCACCTTTTCCCCTTTGTAGAAAACTATTATACTGTGTTCTGTTTAAAAAAGAAAACTTCACAAAAGAGATGCACAAGATCTTAGATCTAAAGAAAAAAAACCTGCATTTTAGCAGCCCCTCAAGTTATCAAAATTTTAATGGGATAATACGTATTGGCCAAGAGAAGTGCAACTGAATTCTAAGTTATATTTTATTCAAAACAGCGGAGCTTCCAGGACCTCTCCACAGATGAAATGCAATGATCCTCCACCCTGCCAGTCCTAACCCGAGGCTACTCCCTCACAGGAACACAAAGATGCTTCCAGTGCTAACAACACAGAGAGACGAAGAGAGCCGCTAAATTCAGTCCATGAAATAAGGCGCTGTCATTTTACCTTTGCAAATTATAAATATGAATATTTTGTCTTAGGACTAAACAGTATGTTTTCTATCAACCCAGCAAGGGCTAAAAATATGGGCAATTATAAAAGACTATAAAGAACGAAGCATCAAATGATTGCTGTACAACCAAACTAGAACTTAATGATCAATTTTATAAAATATAACAATTAATCTTATGAAAGCTAAATGGCAGACACAACAAACTCACTAATAACAGATCATTAAGATATGCTCTTCTTGGGGCCGGGGATTTAGCTCAGCGGTTCGGTGGCCTGCCTTGCAAGCACAAGGACCCGAGTTCAATCCCCAGTACCAAAAAAAAAAAAAAAAAAAAAAAAAA